ACAAAAATTATTCTCTCATTACAATACTCCTAACACTAATTCTAAGTCTTAACCCTAACATTCCTTATTTCACCAACACCCCTAATCGTAACATTTTTCGGTTTACTATTTAAAAATTATTCAACACTTTGGAGTTCATAATTCATCTCAAAAATATTTACCCTTTTTAATTGTTAATTTAGTTATAAATAGAACATTTTCCACCTAGGGGACTTGAAAAACCCCGATTCCAAACCAATGGTGCACATAGGCTTCAGGATCCTGAGGGAACGAATGGAGTATGAACCTGTTGTTGGTCACTGGCTAGCATGGGAGTTCATCTCCTTACGTCGTTCCACTGCTTTGTGGATTAGACCTTCAGATCAAAGGCTCGGAGTGTGGCCCCTTAAGAAAACCAGCTGTTTCGGTCTGGGCATTCGGGCAGTATCACAGCCCTCACACAAATCAGTGATAAATACCGCTGGCTTAATTGCTATTGTGTGGCGCATATGTATGGGTGCCCTCTTGTACCAATGTTTATGTGTTCAAATAAATAAATAAAATGTAGTTTTTTTACATTTTCTGTAGAAAAAAAAGTACATGTTTATTTTATCGTACGTTTTTGGCTTAGATTAACCGGCTTTATACATATTTATTTTCCATCCTACTTTCTCAGCTTATTATAATCAATTTGTACTTTTTCAATTATTATGATGATTACAAATGCAATTTTTTCTAACTAGTACGATTATTAGTCATAAATTGTCTTCCATTGAAATTTCGAATAGACTTAAGTTAGATAACCACTGAAAACGAGCAAGCACTGAACAGCTGTTTCGTCTTGCTATGGGACTCAGTCGTTTGCATCCACGACGCTGCCACCAGGGGATCAAACACAGGACTTTCGGTATCCCACGTGAACACTGAGCTGGCATCTCATAGTATACATGTTTAACTTCACTGGGATATTACAAATTTGCACCACGACTGAGATGGTTGGGCCACGTGTTACGTATGCGTGAACACCGACTACCACGACGTGCAATGCTAACCGGTGTAGGGGTTGGTTGGAAGAAAGTTAGGGGCGGCCAAACCAAAACGTGGCATCAGTGCTTGAAGTCACTAACCTCTAGTCTTAGCCATGTTGGTAGATGCAGACTACTTGGTTGGGGTCCGCGTGACTATCGTAACCAATGGTTGGAGACTCTTGGTGACATGGCTCAGAATCGATCACAATGGCGTCGGTGTATACAGTCTTTGTCTTCCCTTAAACTAAGAGATTAAAATCACTTCATATCTTTCTTTCTACGAACTAATTCTTCCTTCCTATACTATATCCTTATTGCAACCTATGACCTAACCACTCTTATGAATCCGGTGTTCATCTTGTTGTGCTAATGAGGTATGGCAACCTGGACCGATGCACATATGTGCCTGGTCCTACGTTGTAGCTGACTGACTGACTGGATATTACAAATATATTAATTTATTCATGTTTAACTTCAGTTCACAATATTGCGCAACCCTCATTCCTTGCAGGTGATAACTGTTTCACACTCGACATAATTGAACTTTGCTAGTCATGGCTTCTCATATGATTATTATTAGTACTTGATTTTTTTGGAGATAGTAGAATTTTCATAATTTAAATCACGAATTGTTCGTGGACTGCGATTAGAAAATTGGAAATACTGGATTATGCGTTCGTGTTTTAAACTACGATTATTCTTTATGTTCAGTTTTTTTAATAATATCGTTACTACAGTCAATTCAACTGCTGTACTAGTCATCTTGTTACTTTTATCCTTTCGTGCTAATGTGTCTTGACAACTCGGGGTAACATACTATTGTGCTAGGTTTCACATTAATTACTACTAAGTTTAACCGTCAAATGCTATTAATTAGAAATGGAAGAATATTTGAACTAGTTTTTAGAATTTAACCACGTGGGTCGATTTCCAATCGTATCTAACTTTCTGCAGTGGTAAGTGCTAAAAAATGTAGATTTGAAAAATGTATGATACATTTTGACCAATAATTACCCTAATCAATTTTTACTTGTTTGTAGAAACATCTTTAAATAGTGAGATTAAGTTATTAATTGTTATTTTATGCTTATTGTCATGTTTTCCATTATTTTATGGTACGGAAATGTTCTGAATCTCTCCACTGAATCATTATGAGCTAAGATCACATAAACACTGTCTTATAAAATGTTTTTAACGATCATCGTTTTTCTTATACTCTTCAAAATATTACATATTTGTGACTGTGTCGTAGGATACAAACTTGTAGCCGACCACTAATGTATGCTCAAGTGCGTTTTCGCTTATTTATTAAACAAATGATATACTTATGAATAAATTATAATTTCTATCGCTTTAAAGCTGAAAAAGCGTGGTCACTAAGGTTAGACCAAATCTTGGTGATGAGCATTTAGATATAAGGGGATTGGCCGTTTTGTTTTTGCATTCATAAAACTTCCATTTATTTATACGACAGACTAACTGGGAGTCTATAGAAACATCTTTTTACATTGGGGTATACAAATCAAGTGGTTATGTGGTGTGGGTTACTTATATCCATATAAGTAGTATATAACGGTGGTCAGGCATATAATGTATTTCAGCAGAAGATTGATAATGAAACAACGAAAACGGAACGCAGGTGGTTAAAAATGTATGGACAATAAAATCTGAGACAATGGACTGATATTTGCAAAGGAACAATGAAGTTTGGGACGATGGATTGATATTTTGCAAATTAACTATTTACTTTATGGTTCTCAGATTTTAGTGAAATGCTCTGTAATTTCGTGTCAAATACACTCGATTGTTCGCATTAGTGTTCTTGTTCAATGCAGTTGTACCTGAGTGGGATTTCGTTAATCCGTGAACTGAACCATGGCTTTAAGTTTTAATATACTTCGTCTTTATCACTTGGATTGTTGTTAGTACCGCATAAAGCCTCGGACATGAAGTTATCAGTCACTAAGATGTTGTTTACACGTTTCCAATCCTTCTTTCTTTGTAACTGACTCAACAAAACCGAAGACAGGACTAAACTGGTATTTTATCAAATTCATTCGTTTCCTTCCTCTTTGTGCTGCTTCAGGTGTATGATAAATGTTTTGACCTTTCACATGAGTGAAGCAGTGTTATGATTGTATTCAATATTTTTGAGTAACAAACAACTGATAGACCAATGTATATTTCCCAGACCCAAAATCATTTTTCTTACATATCACCCACTCACTTGTCCATCAATGCCATTTTTTAGGAGTTTGGTTTAATCTGTAGGATAGTACTTGTTAAAGATTTATTTCATTTGAGTTACCACTGGAACTCTCACACTATCTCAGCTGATTGACATTAAAATTGTGCCATAGAACTCCGACCTATTGGGATTCTAGTAGTTTATTGTTCTCTATCAGACCTGAAAGACTTATGTGGGTACTGCTGAGTTCCATACTATAAAACAATGCCCAATGTTCTCTGGTTTTAAATAATACTCCATATGATATAATTCTAAAACTATTATTATCCACACATAATTAATTTACTTTAACATTCGCTTTAATTTTCTCGTTTTTAAGTAAATTTGCATTCATGCTTGCTTGAACTGTGTTATGGATTTTGAAGCTTTAGTCATCTCATATCCCATCTGCTAACATTACCAGTCACTTTACGTTTATGATTACGAGTGTCAGTTTTAGCTTACATCTGGTGTTTTATATCTACTTTCCTCTTAGAAAGTTGTCTTTACATTCAAGTTTTTCAGGTCTCTCAAGTGAAAACTATAATCTAATACGTTTACACTACACTTTGCATACAGCCAGTCAGTAACAACGTAGAACTTCGTACGTACGTACATCAGTTCGAGTTGCCACAACACATTAGCACAGAGATGCAGTTGTCGATTCAAATCCCATAGTGGTAGAGGTAGTAAAAGTATGAGCAGTAATCGGAAAGATTAGGCTTTGAACATGTTATTCAAGGAGTATAATCCACTGAAATGAATTTGGAAAGAGGAAAAAAGGGACATGAAGAAATCAGAAGATTAAAATTTTGGAGAACACAAAGAGTGGATGCACCTGCTCCATTGCAAACGATTTTGAGTCATGTCATTCAGGGTCTCTACCCATCGGTTGCTATCATCTCGCGGTCTCCAACCAGGTAGTCTACACCTACCAACAAGGCTCAGTTCACTTGTCAGTGACTTCATGGACTTGTGCCATGTTTTGGTCTGGCCGTCTGTAGCTTTCTTCCAACCTACTCTTATACCATTAAACATCGCACGTCGAGGCAGTCGGTGGTTGGGCATACGTAACACGTGTCCCAGCCATCTCAACTGATGAAGTCTTACTACTTCATCAATTGATTTGTCATTCTTACCTACTACCCGTTTCCTAACAACTGCGTTACTCGATGGTCCCAGGATATACGAGCAATGCTTCGAAGACACCTATGATCAAATACTAGTAACCTACGGATATTCTCTACTCTTACCGGCCATGTTCCACTGCCATAAAGTAGGATGGAACGAACTGCTGTGCAGTAAACACGTCATTTGGTTGATAGACGGGTATCTCGCCTACACCATAAATGACGCAAGTTGGCGAAAGCTAGTCGAGCCTTCTGTGTCCGTGGTGAGATTTCGTCAGACACCAAAACATAAAGGCTGATGAGACTCCCAAGATAAGTGAAGCGGTTGACACGCTCAACTACTTCACTCTCAACCATTTGTTCGGGTGTCGATGCAACCCAATCCTGAAGCAACATTTTGCATTTCGAAGGAGAGAATCGCATGCTGAACATGCTTGCATTGTTGCTTATAGTGGTCAGAAGACTCTGCACTTTGTCAGAATTTTGTATACATATAAATACGTACGTATCTTATCCAAAATACATGTTTAACCAAGCACAGAATGGTTGGTATATTTTCCTTAAATAACTAAGTTTGTGTTCTTTTTTCAATTCAGTCATGTTATAAAGTATCTTTCCGTTTTCATTTGATATTAGGTAGACAATTTGGGTGGTTACTCACCCCCTGGAGAATATGGTCGTTTTATACCTGCAGATATAAGTGAGCTACATAACATATCAACATCAGTATATAGTCGACACATGTCAATCGCACCAGGTAAGGGGTCGCCACCTCAACCTCCCCTACTACCACCACATTTGTTACAGGTAATTTTGAAATTTACTGTTTTTTCGTTTATTTATCTAATTATTTATATAACCACTTTTAAACTTCAAGTCCCAATTATGTGTTATTAAATGAATTTCATATATTCCAACTTAATAATAATAAATATACTTTTCGTTATATCCCAATGAATAGAGAAATTGTATTTCTGACGTTTTGTGACTTAATTTAGGCCATTTCTTCAGAGTAAATAAAACAAAGAAGTGATTTACATTAACTCACGAAACGTCAGAAATACAATTTTTTCTATTCATTGGGATATAACAAGGCAGATATATTTATTATTAACCTTCTACCCAATGCTCAATTTATTTGAGACTATCAAGTCCAACCTTGGCATTGATACCTATAAACTCATAATAATAGTCTGATACAAGTTTAAAATTCCCTTTAGATATGTTTCATATATGTATATATAATTTTATAATTCATTTCGTCTATCTTTCATCATTGTCAAGATTAGAATCGATTGATGTACTAGTCAAATAAATGTTAACACTTCTTTGAGTTCTTCACGAAATACACTCATCTATATAGAGCTAAAGAGCACTACAGCTTATATCAGTTCGTTACGTCAAACCATAACCCCAACCATATTTCCCATCCTATTATAAACCTATTAAGTAATTTGCATGTCTTAAGGTCACTTCTAAATCATTCAAATGTTGTCCATAAATTTAAAGAACACTATGGTCTGGAAACAAAATTCGTTGCTGAAATAAATTATTCTTTGACTGTCTATAACAACTTATTATTACCGTTATTATTGTCCGCCAAGTAAATTGTTGAAAAATTGGTGTAATGACATCTGACAGACACAGGCATAAACCAGCACCTGATATATATATATATATATATATATATATATATATATATATATACGTAGGGTCAAGTTTTTATCATGCCACGCTAACACAACGTAATAAACATAACCATGATATCTACCGGAATTACATTTTTTCTCCATACTATTTTCAGTGCTATGCGTTTGCAGACGTTCCTACAGATTTTAATTTTGCATTCTATGCGAAATTGTTCCTTTTTATTATTAAACAATAATTGTGTCTGAACGTAAAACAACCATATAAATCATATCATTTAGATTGTATAATTCGTGTTCAATAAATTCTTTCCGTTCACCACTGACGAATCTGCTGCGCCCACAAAGGAAAGGGCTGAGTCATAGTGCGTGAGTAGAAGGTTTGACGATAGGAGCTGTTTAAGCTTTAAGAATGCTTCTTGGTATTCTGTTGACCATTTGGTATTCCTTGTTAGTAAACAATTCAGCAGGGCACACAGACGATGCAGATCTGGAAGAAAAACAACAATGGATAGCAATTCCCGAGAAGGAGCGTAAGGTTGATACATCTGTCGGTCGAGGTATGGTCTTGATAGCCTCGACGTTTTCCGAATCAGGTTTTCTTCCGTTTTTTGATGGCTATGAATCCCGAATAGCGCACTTGCTCCATGTTGTAGTCAAATTTCTCAGCACGTGGTCTGAATCCATAATCTGCTACACGTCTAAGGATCATATCCATCTTCTTTATGTTAGCGTAATCCGTACCTATGATAAGTATATCATCCAGATAGGCCGCCGTACCACGAATATTTTGCAGCACAATGCCCATAAGTTGTTGGAAGACTGATAGGGCTGTATTTAATCTAAAACGAAGTCTGTTATACCGCAACAATCCCGTATGAGTGTTTATAGTCAGGTGATGATTACATTCTTCAGCTACTAGAGTCTGTAGGTAAGCTTCTGATAAGGTCAACTTTGTGAAATACTCCCCCCATTCAATTTCGCGAATAAGTCTTCTGGTAAAGGCAAAGAGTACTGTTGGGCTTCAAGTGCTTCGTTTAATCCTGTCGAATAATCTGCACATTTTGTTTTGATGGTTTGGTCGGTGTCATATTCAAATCCATGTTCAAGAAATACGAAGATATATTCAAGGTCGACCTAGAAAAATTTGATGATGCCGCGAACGTCAGAATATCACTTCGCGAACTTGGCACAGCTGAACATGAACGCTACACCAACTTCATTCTTCCGAGAGAAATTTTCTTTGGTGCAACGGTCGAATTTTTGTCTCAAATCTTTGGCGAGCAGTCATCTTTTTTCAGTATTCCTTAATGTCTCAAGTTAGCAAAGGCCGGCGACAAACAACGTATAACTTTCGTATAAAAGAATCTTTTGCCCATTTATTGCTCGTACGTATGGTGTCCAACCATTAAAGTGTCATGTTTCAAGTTTACCAACCTCTAGCATTCACTGGTCACTTCTTGCAGCGTTATATTTGGACATTATTCAATGTTACTCAGAATTCTGGTTCTTATATCGGAATCTTAAGGTGACTAAAAGCTGTATACAAAACAAGACACTTAAACCGGTCCTCTGTCATTGCAGACAATTTAAGATGCTTTCACACACGATTTACTATGCCAGGATATTGCACCGTCACCTTTGTTTACTAACGAAGAATACGAAATGGATCTGGTCAACAGAATACCATGAAGCATTCTTAAAGCTCGGATAGCTCCTATCGTCAAACCTTCTACTTACGCACTATGACCCAACTCTTGTTGTTGTGGGTGCAGCAGATACATCAAGTTATGAAATCGTAACAGTGATTTCGCATGTCTGCCCTGGTGGATCTGAGAAAATGTTTGCGTACGCTGCGCGATCGCTGACAATGACAGAAGGGAATTATGGTTGGAGGAGGAAGCCCTCTCCTTTATCCTCGCTGTGAAAAAGTTTGTCTAGATCGTATTCCGTAGACAGTTTACGTTACTAAAAGACCAGAAACCGCTATTGACAGTTTCTATATCCAAAACAGTATCCCTATATATGCAGCAAACCGTCTACAACAATCTCCAACTACACTGCTGTGCTATGACTTCAAGATAAAGTACCAACCGAAAACGGGTTTCGGACAGGTAGATGCTCTCTGAAGATTAATCGGATCCCATACAAAACTAGAAGAGGCGCTTGTAGCTACCGTTAAAGCTGAGTTCGAAGTTCGCATATTGTTGACAGACGCTGTTTCGGGGCTATCGGTCACATTCGAAGCCATTAAAGAAGCTAATGAAAAGAATAATACGTTGAAGATCGTTCGCCGTTGTATATTCAACAAGTGGCCTTCACCTCGACTTCATGAAGAGCTTTTACAATACTTTCGTCTGAAAGACTCTTTGACAATTGTCGGTTCGTGAGTTATTTTTGGCCACCGGATTATTATTACGGAGTTTTTCGTCATTGAATCCCAAGACAGTTTCATGGCGGATACCCAGGATTAAGTAAAATGAAGTCACTGGCTCGGAGTTACTCATATTGGCCGCCAATGAACCGTGGTATAGAACAGAAGTGTCGTAGCTCTTGATCCTGTCTAGAAGCTGCAAAGATTTGTATTAAAGCAGAGCCTCAGCCATCGCCAAAACTGGACGGGCCTCGGGAAAGAATACATGCTAATTTCGCCGGTCAAATGCAAAGCAGAAACCACTTGGCGATGGTGGGTGATTTCACAAATTGGCCGGAGGTATACGGTATACCGAATACGTTAGAGAATACAATAAGAAAATTATCAAGATTGTTTGCTTGTTTTGGGGTTCTGGAGATCTTAGTAACTGACAATGACACTCAGTTCATTTTGTGCGCTTAAAATAGGTTCTGCCGTGAAAATGACAGTACGCATCTACGATCTCCTCCGTAGCATCCCCAATTGAATGGCCAGGCAGAAAGCTTCGTGGATACGATAAAAAAACTTACTTACTTACTTACGCCTGTTACTTCTCGTGAAGGAGCATAGGCCGCTCACCAGCATTCTCCATTTAACCCTGTCCTGGGCAATCCTTTCTAGCTCCGTCCAGTTGTAATTCATCGTTTTCATATCTGCTTCTATTATCCGACGCAATGTGTTCTTTGGCCTTCCTCTTTTTCGCTTCCCTTCAGGATTCCAAGTTAGGGCTTGCCTCGTGATGCAGTTTGACGATTTGCGTAATGTATGTCCTATCCATTTCCATCGTCTTTTCCTAATTTCTTCTTCAGCTGGAAGTTGGTTTGTTCTCTCCCACAGAAGGCTATTGCTGATGGTATCCGGCCAATGGATGTTGAGTATCTTGCGAAGACAGCTATTTATAAATACTTGTACTTTCTTGATTGTGGTTGTTGTAGTTCTCCAAGTTTCAGCTCCATACAGTAGAACTGCCTTGACGTTCGTATTGAAGATTCTCACTTTGATATTGGTTGAAAGTTGTTTTGAGTTCCATATGTTCTTCAATTGTAGGAATGCGACCCTTGCTTTGCCGATCCTCGCTTTTACGTCTGCATCGGATCCTCCTTGTTCATCGATGATGCTTCCCAGGTATGTGAAGGACTCTACATCTTCCAGAGTTTCGCCATCAAGTGTGATTGGATTGCTGTTTTCCGCTTTGAATTTGAGGACCTTAGTTTTCCCTTTGTGTATGCTGAGGCCTACTGATGCAGAGACTGCTGCTACACTGGCTGTCTTCATCTGCATCTGTTCGTGTGTACGTGATAGGAGGGCTAGGTCATCTGCGAAGTCCAAATCGTCTAATTGATTCTGAGCTGTCCATTGTATTCCGTGTTTTCCTTCAGATGTTGAGGTCTTCATAATCCAGTTGACCACCAGAAGAAAGAGGAAGGGAGAGAGTAAACAGCCTTGTCTGACTCCGGTCCTTACTTGGAATGCATCTGTCAGCTGTCCTCCATGCACTACTTTGCACCGTAGTCCGTCGTATGAGTTCCGGATAATATTGACAATCTTCTCAGGAACTCCGTAGTGTCGAAGAAGTTTCCATAACGTCCTCCTATCTACACTGTCGAATGCCTTTTCATAATCAATGAAGTTGATGTATAATGATGAGTTCCACTCAACTGATTGTTCGACGATGATTCGTAGTGTTGCAATTTGGTCTGTGCACGACCGATCCTTACGGAATCCAGCTTGTTGATCTCGAAGTTGGGCGTCCACTGCATCCTTCATCCGGTTCAGCAACACTCTGTTGAAGACTTTCCCTGGTATTGACAGTAGTGTTATGCCTCTGTAGTTTTCACATTTGCTCAGATCTCCTTTCTTTGGAATCTTGACGAGGTGTCCTTCTTTCCAGTCCATCGGCATTTGTTCCTCCTCCCAAATCTTTTTGAATAGAAGATAAAGCATGCTTATGGTTGTTTCGATGTCTGATTTCAGTGCTTCAGCTGGTATGTTGTCGGGTCCTGCTGCTTTCCCGTTCTTGATTTGTCTGACGGCCATTCTAATTTCTTCCGTAGTTGGTGGATTGACATCTATAGGAAGATCTATGTGTGCTGCTTCGATGTCCACTAGATTCATTGGAGCCGGCCTATTCAGGAGTTCCTCGAAGTATTCTACCCATCTGTTACGCTGTTGTTGAATTTCGGTGATTGGCTTGCCTTCTTTGTCTTTGACCGGCCTCTCTGGTTTACTGTAATTCCCTGCTAGTTTCTTCGTTGTATCGTGAAGTTGTTCCATTTTTCCTTCTCTAGCAGCTTTTTCTGCCGTCGTTGCTAGTTCTTCCACGTATTTCTTCTTGTCGGCTCTAATGCTCCTCTTCACTTGTTTGTTTGCTTCTATGTATTCAGCTTGTGCTTGGACTTTCTCTGCTCGTGTTCGGCTGTTGTTTATTGCTGCCTTCTTGTTCTTCCTTTCTTTGATCTTGTCCAGTGTTTCTGTAGAGATCCATTCCTTATGATGGTATTTATTTAGACCGAGAACCTCTTGACACGTTGAAGTTAATGCTTCTTTGATGCTTTTCCAGTTGTCCTCCATAGTAGTTTCTTCTTTCAGTAGATCTTGTAAGGCTTGGAACCTGTTGTTGAGAGCTATCTTGAATTCATCGAGTTTGACAGTATCTCGAAGGAAGGCTGTATTGAACCTTTGTATTGCTGTTTGTCCACTTGTCCAGTTCCTTTTTAGCTTCAGTTTTAAATTGGCTACAACTAGGTGGTGATCTGAAGCTACGTCAGCACCTCTCCTGGTTCTCACATCTTCCATTGTCCTTCGGAATTTTTTGTTGATGCAAATATGATCTATTTGGTTCTCTGTAGTGTGGTCCGGTGAGATCCATGTAGCCTTGTGTATACGCTTGTGTGGAAATATTGTGCCTCCTATGACCAATTTGTTGAATGCACATAGATTTGCAAATCTTTCTCCATTTTCGTTTCTTTCTCCCAGTCCATGTCGTCCCATAATATCTTCATATCCAGTGTTGTCTATTCCGACTTTGGCATTTAGATCTCCCATCAGAATAGTTAGGTCCTTTCTTGGGCATTTCTCAATGATTGACTGCAGCCGTTCGTAGAATTGATCTTTGATGTCGTTGTTGCTATCATTGGTGGGTGCATAACATTGGATAATATTCATTAAGACCCCCTCCTTCTTTGTTTTGAATGATGCTTTGATGATTCTGGATCCGTGAGATTCCCATCCTACAAGTGCATTTCGTGCTACTTTGGACAGCATAAGAGCGACTCCCTGAGTGTGTGGAGCATTGTCTTCTTCGTGACCGGAGTATAGCAGCATCTCTCCCGTAGCTAGCTTTTTCTGTCCAGCTTGGGTCCAGTGGGTTTCGCTGATTCCCAGTGCTGCCTAGTTGTATCTCCTCATTTCCATTGATATTTGACTGGTCTTCCCGGTTTCCCACATTGTTCGAACGTTCCATGTACCTATAAAAATTTTTGCTCTGGTTGTTAGAAGGGGCATCGGCCTCGTGGCTTCCGAAGGAACTCGGCTTTCACCATGAAGCGTCATAATTCTTCTAAATGAAGACCTTCTAACTCCCAGGGCAGAGTTAAAATGGTTTGGATTGTTTTTTCTGGTAAGCGTTTTTTTAGCGAGTTAGTTTTCTACGGGATGGGGACGCTAACCCCATGCCCAACCCTCCTCCTTTACCCGGGCTTGGGACCGGCAGCAACCCTATAAGAGCTACAGGCGGAGTTTACGATAAAAAAAGGCTCTGATTAAAAGAGAAGGAGAGGATATTCCACCACAAGTGGTCAATAACTTCCTAATGTTCTACAAAGTTACACCTTATTCGGCAATGTAAGAAAAGTTCCCAGTTGAGTGTATGTTTGGAAGGGAAGTTCAGACAGTCTTTAAAAGTATTATTGCCACACGGGTAGATAAATAAACATATAAATGAGTATTGTATAGTCACTCGCAACTTCCAGGTGAGTGAAAGGGTTCTTATCAAGTCGTATCAAGGTAATAAAAAACGAGAACCAGATATTATTAAACGTCGGATTGGAAAAGTACTGTAATTCGGAGAAGTGTCGGGACTTGTATAAGACATGTAAATCAAATTCGAAGGGATGGTAGAACAACGATTACACAAAGCCGACTCCCGCTCCAAATATTCGTGGATTCATTTCAAAAAAGCCCTGAGGAAAACGAAAGCAGGAGATATAAAAGACGAAAGGGCAAAACAGTACAACCTTCAAGAGTGATGAACCACAAGAGGAATGTGGTAACCAATTTTCAAGTGGGCGCAAACAGAAAGTCTTACACAAGAGACTTTAAAGGTGGGAGGTATGGGGACTGCTCTCGGTTAACTCAAGGAAGCTCTGAAAGAGCTGAAGACATTCCATCCAAATATGGTTTGAAAGAAAATTTCAGAATCTCTACGTGTAGCTTCCCGATTGTTCCAATCTTCCTCTACCCTTTGTATAATTGTCTGAAATAATTTAGTTTTATTGAATTAATGGTCCCTGTTAATGTGTATTTCATTAACAATAAAACAAATTTTACTCTACAAATGTAGTGTAACTGCTTTCTTCGCTCTGATAATACACCAATTTGAATAAATATTCTAGTCTAAAACAGTAAATATTGAAATGATCACTTGACTTTCCCCATACTAATCTATTGATTAACCTATACCATGTGTACATAATATTCATTTGATGAATCACGAATAAATTTGTATTTTACTTACCATTCTGAAAATCATTCACGGGGAAATTTTTTTTGGTTTTTTACATACTAGAAGTTGCAATAATAGGTACATATTAGTAACATGTAATTGAATTCTCTACATTACTGTTAAGTCATTTTACAAAATTATAGTAAAACAGTCTGCAATTATCATCGTTAGCCTAATGTCGTGTATAGTGATTGAGATAATCAAATTCCAATTAGTAGGTCATAGATTTCGAATTCTGTCTGATCTACTAATATTACTATGGTTTTAGCATTCGAGTACTATTAAGAAATAACCATCACATAAACACATGATAACTCCAAGTCAAGTACACATGTTGGATCATATACATCGAATTGATCAATAATATGTATTTACATGCAATTTAATCTTAATAATTAATAGCATATATAAGGCTGTTTGATGCAATAAGTCATCAATAAACTCGCAATACTATCAAGAAATAGAAGAGTGAAAATAACTTTTAGAAAGTAACGGAAACTACATAATAAACTACTTCCATGTATATATAAACAAAATAGGTTTCATCTAATCAATAAATTTGTCTTACTCCTAATGAGAACATATGATATAAAATTATATCGGGATTCCTATTGATTCTTATGAGTTTATACTTAACTAACTCAAGCAAACTAGTTTCGTGGACCGATCATATTAATAAACTTGTTACAAATAAAATCATCGTTGTTCTAATTAGTTCACTCGTCAAATCGAAAGTTTGGAATGTTGGAGATACCATTAACTTAATTCTTCAGTTTTTCTTTTGTTATTGTTGGAGTTTCAGTTAGTCTATTGATCAGGCTGTGGTTGTGTTGTTAATGTGATATTCCACTGCCTATACGCTAATCTGCCATATTGGTTTACTTGGGAGGTTGGAAGGTAACGTCGAAACGAAGACACGGCATTAGAACATAGATTCAGTGAACTTCAAACTATCATCGATTAATTGAGCTTTAAGGGATAATTGCAAATTGTGGTTAAGAAACTTAAATGGCATTAAGCAACACCGATTGGAATGACCTACTTGTGTTGACTCGCTACCTTTCCCTATATCTTAAGTACATATTAGCTTTTCAACGCAATTAACATTGCTCATACTCTCTCTCTATCCTGATAAGCGTGGTAGCTCGAATGAATCCTCGCTCGCAATCCTATTGAATATCCCAATTAACTGCAGTGAGGAAATGCTGGTTTGTAAAACGTGTATCAGATCTCGAGGCAGTTATATTGACATTGTGCACTTGGAATCAAAAAAGATTGACACATACCTAGTGATCTTGTTCTTTAAGATTGGAATACCATGAAATGTATTCAGAATTTACTCACTATTTGATAGATTTATGGATTACGACGCTTACACAAGCCCTTGTGAAAGTGGATATACTTAAGGCATTACTGCATAATAACAAAGGCCCTTCATAATGGTAATTTTGAAATTACAATCAAAGAAAAGCAGCTAACCTACTGTTCACTCCTAACTGACAGCGTTGTTCAATTAGTTCTGTGATCTAGGCTGTTTTACGTTATTGCAAAACATGGCAATCCCATGCACTCATCACTGTAAATTTGCACTAAATATGCAAATGTGATGTGATTTTTACTGAACTGTATCATGAGTTACCTTCAGTGGTTTATATACAAAGTTTAGAATACAACCACCGACAAGAAGTCTCAGTTGACGATAATATTTGGAAATCCACCATCTCATAACTTATTGTAACAGAATATTTCAATATGCCAATAAGAATTCCTTGTCTACATTATTGCTTGTTCTTTTATGGAAAATTAATTTCAGGGTATTTTAAATATGGATACAAACACCCATTGTGATCCTAATCTGCTGCCGCAACCAAATCATGTAATTGTCAACCACCTATATGCTCTCTCGATAAAGGTGAGTAGTTCCATTTACCCAGTGTACGTAGGACGCATTTCTGTACATATTAGCTTGCTTTTTTTATCGAGTGGGTATGTATTTCCATGAAGATTACATTACTGACGGACAAACATTATGTGACGACCTGTTATTTATGCGTAGTAGTGATATACACGCACTCGACTATTAAACAATTTCAGTAGCTGTACATTTTTGCAATCTGCTTCGTTTCTTTTACAAGTTGAATAGAAAGCCTTTAATACAAACGGACAGGGCACTCTATATGAGTATACTGTTAGAATTATGGTCTGGGTAACCTCGAATTGCAGGAGACAATTCGTTATGAGTTGCTAGAGTTTAACTGACAATCTAGGAAAATACAGTACTCTAATAGCAATCACATACAATATTTGTACTTTGCTGAAATTTTCTATACAGCGACAGAAACTATACTTCTTAATCTACACAATTGAGGTGTTTAACATTTCCCTCTTTAACAAGTTCAAAAATGGATGCTTGGATGAAACATTTATTACTTTTATTTTTCCTCAGGACGGCGTAATTGTGCTGAGTGTAATCACACGCTTCAGGCAAAAATTCGTGTCAACTCTTTTCTACAAACCGATTGAAGGATGACCATTTTATACATATCCTAAACTTGACTTCTTTTTGGTTACAAACAGTCCATGAATCCACAGTTGCAATTCATCTCTGAGTTACGAATATACGCTCAAAATTTGTTTTTAGCCCTTTATAGATTTTAAAAAAAACTATATTGTTCTTTTGTAATTTTTTATGGGGATAAGCAATGAGATTAAAAAACATCGACTTATTATTAGAATAAAACATGGGGAGTAAAAAAAGGTTAGATAGAAAACTGTACACCTAATAGATTGTAATAACAAAACTTGGATATATGAATGCTGCCAATTTGAAGAATTCTAAAAGTTTGCATTAAAACAAAGAGCATAAATCTATAAACATTAAAATTTATAAGAATTGACCATTGAGCGAAAAATATATAAAACACATTGACATAAATGCAATAAATATTATGAAATAAGTAGTAATTAGAAAACTTTAGGTATGAACCGATACGGCACCAAGGCTGTGTACTTTTGCCATGCTGGGCCATGTTTTCTTAAACAAGCATCCTCCACAACTATAGAACGATGAATAATGTTGAGAATTGTGATAGCGGAAATTCCCCATAACAGTGGAGAGTCGAAACCTATAAAGAGAGTAATGTGGAAAGATAGTATCAATTGCCAGCGATCAACACGACAAATCATAGTAATGCGATCAGTACGAGTGCCGATTCAAACAGGCTTGTTTCGGCAATTACCCAGGTGACTGTGGACCAATCCAACGGTCGTCTGGTAAACTCTGTGATTTAGTTGCCCAATCTTGAAAAATTTATGTATTGTATCTACATGTGTTGTGTCCAGATTCAGTGTTAAGGACGATTTTCGAAAAACACTAGTGACCCAAACAATATTGCTCTCCTATTCACATAGAAATTAATAAAACTCACCGCATGGAACCTGCATTGCCACGGCCAAAATAATGTAACCCACATAATTTGGGTGGCGAACATAACCCCAGAGACCCGAAACTAGTAATCGTTGAGCACCTGGTCCAACAACTATTTCAGCATCTAAAAACGGGAACAGATGGACAAGTTGATAATTTTGATTATGCTAAAAAATACACAAATGAAACTGTACGCATATTATTGTTACTGATTAAATCCTGTCTTATATCACAAACTAACAGTTAGCTCAGTTGTATCAGAATTGTTAAAGATTTCTAATGTAGCTCGAGGTTTAAACAGGATTAGTGCTCTTACCCGAGATCTGATTGGTTGGAGATACATTTGGCCTAGTTCACTGCATCAATAAACCTACAAACTCTCAAGTTAGTGAGTTTCTATTTCACATAAATTCTATAAGCAATGAAAATTACGGGATAGCATTGCATGTTGAACCCCTTTTTACTTTATAATTCTTCGGTCATTCGATGACTTGATAATCAGAATGCACGTCTGTGTATATATTTGAAGTTTCGTCAGCTGAGTTTCGCAACAAAATGTTAATAATAAAGCAACCGATAACGTTATGAGGACTTTAGTACTAAACTATGAATTATGAGCACGACAATACAAATTGTGAAACGCCAAAACATATGCGATTAAAAAACCAATGCAAAATTTATGTTCTGTAGGAAAATCAATAAATAAATTGTTTTAGGACAAGCGACAAACCAACTCTGGTGTTGACTGTTACCATACCATTAACGTGTGGTCATAACTGGTGACGTGTGACTAGAAAATGAGATTTCCTAGATAATATACGCTGAAAATAATAAAGCATTAAAGTAGGAAAACATAATATACCTATAAATTAAGTCAGTTCATCCTCAGTATTAAATAGATGACAGTTATTACACACTAACTGCGTACATGTTAGTTGTTCTTTATGGATGTAACAATCAAGATAAAAATAAAGCGTTGGATAAACTAGCTACTATAGACGTTTCAAGGTCCCTAGTTATTCTCAATTTAAAAAATATCAAAACTGTACAAAGAGCAAAATTAACCTCGACAAGAAATATACGTTAACTCACTAGCAAACGATGGATCGTGAGGATCACGTCTGAATCTATCTTTCTGGTTGTTTGATCTACGATAAATCCATAATCCCAGTAAAAATAAAACAATAGCAATTCCCATAATCCAAGCATTGCAACTATGTTTTGAAGAACTAGTTAGCTGTCTGCCAACATCAGGTCTTGAAGACAAGTATGAACTTGTTATGGAATATACGAAAGGTAAAGCGACCAATCGACTGATAATAAAGCAAGAACCAAATGTTACGGATTGCGCTTCGTAAGTAAAGGAGAAGGTATGCTAAAATAAATATAGAGAACATGGTATATGCAGTAGAACATCGCAATGTATTATTATATAAATTTCAATTTATAATGTTTGCTATTCTCCGAAAAACAATTTTCTAATTAATATTGGCTACTTACAGTATACAACAAAGAACAGAAATCCAAGTACGCATGAAAATACACTACACCACGTACCTCGAAGATGAAGAAGTCAAGCACCCATAAAGCGTGCATAAGAGCATGCGCAGCAAGAGCCGGGCTAATGCGTTCATATTGCTCATACTGTCTGAATATATACGTTAAGTCTATTAAGGGCAATGCCATCAATCCCGATCGTGTTATAGTCATTTTCCAATCAATACCAAACCACTGGGGTCGTACGTGACGACCACACCAAAAATCAAGGAAAATACTACCTATAAATTGTGAGAAAAGCATGCATTAAATAATTGTATAATTAATTCATAAATGATAAGTACTGTCAGCACTGATAGTGAGCCCATTGAAGATATAAAGTTTTACGAACTTTTTTTTGGAGTGATCGGTTTCACTCTTTACAATAAAAACCTAAGGGCAGGCTAACAGTTACTTTCCAAAAAAACGTACATATGCTTTAGAGTGAAATGAACATGAGTACTGTGCAGTTAAATAAATAAACTAAAAAGAGCAAATACAGAATAACAGTTTTTTTCGAGACTAAAAATGTATGAATATGAAACCGACTAAAATCAAGTTAATAACACATGCGTTCCCTACAACACTGATTAAAATTAAATAGAAATCATATAAGCTAGCTGGTTAAAAACAGAGTCGACCATTTTCACTAACTTGTTTTGGCCGCTGATTGTCTTGTATATCGTACAACTGTCTTAGAGGCGAAATACGCAACAAACGACAAAAAAAGAGACGCCAAACAAGATGAGGTCAGTAAACTGAGCCATAGGTTTGGGAGCATTTCACTTGGTTTTAAGTTTCTGATTGTAGTACACTCGGAAATTTCAGCGAAAGCAAACAACCCAATGAAGATGATAAAAGATATCAGACCTACAAGGATAAATGCATACAATATTAAAATAACGATAACAGAAATTTTTTTAGATTAATGGATGAGAAGTGTTTATGTTTTATTGTTTCATAAGATTTTGAAGAAACTTCATTTAAAATGTCACCACTAAAAGCACATGTTCACCTTTATGAATGGTGAGATAGAAACATGGTAATAAACAATCCTTTAGTTAGGTTTGCTAGATTGTTTTTTTCTGAAGGTACTAACTACTAAAATTGTCTGAAAAGAAACGATGGATTTACCGATTAAGTTGATCAATAATAGATTTTTATGAATAGAATTGCATTTTGAACAAGTGATTTGAATAATACAGTACTAGTGCGTTACTTATTTACATAATTACTGGCATATAGCAACACGTAGCACTTAATTTCTACGTTGTTCAGATATTCGTTCTAAATTAATGCTTAATTTGGTTGACAGGGAGCAGTTATGCTTTTTAATCAACTGTACTTGATATAGACTTCGTTCCAACAGCAAGAAAACTTACTATTACAGCGGTAGTCGATATTTCGGATCCCCGTTGTAACAATTCGACCAATAGGGAGAAAACGAGCAACTAGACACTGCAACAAAAGATACATAAAGACGAGCACGGAACTCTGGATATTGATATAGTTGTGCCAGTCAGTTGGCCAAAGAACTCCAAGAAATGGACGTGCAGGACCCCACAAACTTTTATTATCACCAGTTGGCCAAAGAATTTCAATTAGTGGAAACGCTGATTCCCATAAGCTTTTATTTTCTCCGGAAAAATTGCTTACTGAAACGGGTGCAAATATCAGAAGGTTCAGCCAGTAAACAAATGGTATAATGAACAGTACTTGGATAATGGCAACAACAGTTGGACTAAACAACGTTTTACGATAATTTGTTAAGAGTGGAGTTAGTGTTACTGGTTTGTGTGGTTGGATCGCTTCCGGCTTGTGAACTAGTCTATAAGAAAGATATAAAACAACATATTTAATATAGCGTACTTTTTGATGGAGTTTTGTTTTGTGAGCTGGACGGTTTGGTCGTGAAGTTTTCATCGTCCTGGACGACATCATCAGCACACACTTCTACCTGAAGTTTGTGCTGATGATGTCGTCCAGGACGATGAAAACTTCACGACCAAACCATCCAGCTCACAAAACAAAACTCCAACAAAATCATCCACCTGAG